CAGTTCCCTACAGTGTTCAAATGCTCCGCCTACCCGATCTCAGGGATTTCGAGTATAGCTACGATCTCAATGACGTAGTACATGATTAGTTGACCGAAACTGCTGCGTATGCCTGAGTAGTAGCCAGGTCGCAGTCTCAGGGGCTCCGGCAGAAGTGGGTGACGAGGATTCTAGAGATGTTTGTTTCACTACCAACCACGCCCCTTCAGACGAAAGACGCTCATGTGAAGCACCGCAGAATGAGGGGGTCCTGCTTTCGTGTGCAGTCTAGCGCTTCGTCGTTTGGTGTCCCACTCAAGCGCCCACTTTTTCGTCAGCGAGTGCTCAATCAAATATTTCATTCGCAGCGACAGGGAAAAATACGGCCCACTTTATTATGTCTCACTTTTATATCCCAATGCCTCCAACTATGTATGAGTTTCAGCGACTGTCCCTGATCAACTGCAGCATCGTGCCAAGGTTTCCGTTTGTGCAAAGGTCGACTTTCGTTGTGGTTGTCCATGTGAGAGCAGATGATGCCCAATCGAGAACTGATTGGCGAAATACCTACGGCGCTGACAATTGAGAAGCAAAGTGATTACCTCGCTCTTTTTGAGTTAAAGAAAGGTACTTCAAATGAGTAAACTTTCAGTACAACTACACTATTCTATTTTCTGTGGGTAGGCCAGGTTCACTGAATCATCAGAGGATTATCGAGGAGGAGAGCGCTCTGTACGATGACATTCTGCAATTCGACTTTAACGATACTTATCGAAATCTAACATTAAAGGTACTTTTTTCTACTCATTAGTCTTCCGTGAGAAAGCGGACAAGCCTTGGAGTGAGGTGATGGAAGAGACAGAGAGCCGTAAGGGAGTCAGAGTTCTAGGGCCCGAGCATGAAAGGTTGCCTACGGTACGTGGTTCAGAAACTGTTGATGGGGAGTTTGTATATGATCCGTCCCCCCAGTCAACGTTGTCAAGAGGACAGGGGGTCCGAGGTTCATTTTTATCACTAAAATATTAGTGGAAAGAGAAACTTGAAGAAAACTAAGAATACTATCGTGTAGGGCAAGGAATTCTCTGCCAAACGGTATGAAACTCAATGGCAAAACTTTTCTTCTTCAGCGCGATATTTTGAGTGAGAAAAAAGGCTGAGGATTGACTGTTTATCGAAATAATTGTACTACAATGCGGTTCAGCGGATGATGAGGCGTATGTAGGGGTGTTGGGCTTGGCGCAGCAATTTTTCCCCTTTTCTTTTTTTCTTTTGATAAGACAGTATCATATTGTTCGTGTCGGTGATTTCCACCTGTTGCTTTCGCTTACCCGCTTCAACACTGGTGGAGAACGGGCTGACGCCGCGCCAAATTCAGCCTTATCATCCAACAGCGAACATGACCGTAGTTAAGGGAGCAGAGATAAGGG